CACAATTCTAATTTTAGGATGCAATCCAAACTGTCAGTATTAAAACTATGTGCCATCTATTAAACACTCCAACACTTGACTAACTCTTAAGCAAGGTTTACACGATTTTCCGAATTGGCTTCTTTGAAACTATTTATATCATATTTCATGGATCACTCTCATTTTTTTTGATTGTGGAGAGCCTTTCTTTGAAAGACCTTATCTATGTGACACAATTCTAATTTTAGGATGCAATCCAAACTGTCAGTATTAAAACTATGTGCCATCTATTAAACACTCCAACACTTGACTAACTCTTAAGCAAGGTTTACACGATTTTCCGAATTGGCTTCTTTGAAACTATTTATATCATATTTCATGGATCACTCTCATTTTTTTGGACTGGCCTTCCTCCAGGGAGCTCACGGCAGCATACACGGCTCTCCCTTCCTCCATTTTATCCTCACAACAACCCTGCAAAGTAGGGAGCAACTCTCCTAATTTCACCCGTCCGAGCTCTATGGCTGAGTGAGAATTTGAGTCCAGGTTTCTTTGGTCCAGGAGCTGCGGTGGCTCAAGTGGTTAAGACGCTGAACTGCAGGCTGTGGAAGGTCAGTAGTTCAGCAGTTCGAGACCCGAGTGCCGCATGACGGAGTGAGCTCCCGTCTCTAGTTCTAGCTCCTGCCAACCTAGCAGTTCGAAAGCAAGACATTGCAAGTAGATAAATAGGGACCACTTCGGTGGGAAGGGAACAGCGTTCCGTGCGCCTTGGTGTTTAGTCATGCCGGCCACATGACCACGGAAACGTCTTCGGACAGCGCTGGCTCTTCGGCTTTGAAACGGAGATGAGCACCGCAACCCTAGAGTCGGATTCGACTGGCTTTCGAGCAAGGGAACCTTTACCTTTACTTTACCTTCTTCGGTCCTAGTTTGAAATTATAATGAATACACAATATTAGCTTTCATTTAGAAGCCTTGCCTAAAACAGACGGGAAGGCTGGCTCAGCAGGTACAGGAGCCATATAAGGAAAAAAACAAAACCACTCTAGACAGCACGGGGACAGTGGACATTTCAGAGCTGGATTGGACTAATTGGTTGGTACTGAGCCCTACACAGTGGCTGTACTAAGCTGGACTTTCTAAGGGTACACACGTGGCTCATGCGCGCTGTCTGCACGCTCCCCTGGCTTCCCTCCCTTGCACAAACTGCTGCTGAAAAGAACACTCCAATTGGCACACAAAGTATGAATGCAGAAATCAGGGAAAACCGAAGTTTGGTTCTAAACTAAGGCTGAATTACAGTGAACAGGAGGAGGTATTAACTACAAAGTGGACTAAGTGATGGATAAGGCTGGATCTGCATGACCAGTTTCACAAGGTGAAGAGAAGAAGAAGAAGAGATTGGATTTATACCCTGCCCTTCACTACCCGAAGGTGTCTCAGAGCGGCTTACAAACTCCTTTCCCTTCCCCTCCCCACAACAGACATCCTGTGAGGTAAAAGAAGAGGAGGATATTGGATTTATACCCCGCCCTTTACTACCCGAAGGTGTCTCAGAGCGGCTTACAAACTCCTTTCCCTCCCCCTCCCCACAACAGACATCCTGTGAGGTAAAAGAAGAAGAGGAGGATATTGGATTTATACCCCGCCCTTCACTACCCGAAGGTGTCTCAGAGCGGCTTACAAACTCCTTTCCCTTCCCCACAACAGACACCCTGTGAGGTCGGTGGGCTGAGAGAGCTCTTGACAGAAACTGCTCTTTTTCGAGAACAGCTCTTATCAGAACTACGGCTTGCCCAAGGTCATCCAGCCAGGTGCAAGTGGAGGAGTGGGGAATCAAACCCGGTTCTCCCAGATTAGAGTCCGCGCACTTAACCACTACACCAAACTGAGCGATGTCAGATGATAACCTTGCTCTATAAGAGTGCTGGAGTAGAGCTGAGTCAGTTTGGTGTACCGGACCAAGTGCTGGACCAGTATCTGGGAGAAAATCCCCACTCTGCCCTGTAAGCTTCCTGAGTGGCTTTGGAGCCAGTCTGCCTTTCCAAGCAGCCACGGAAAAAATGCTGCAGCAACAACGAGAAGTAACCTGGAAGCCTTGGGGTGGGGTGGGGGAGGAATTTCTCATCCCCCCCCCATTCCTGTCTTTTCTTTATGATCATGCACGGAACCTTCATAGGCTTCATTTATCTCCAGAATTCAGCCCCTCCCTCACGGCCACATATTATTTAATGCCAGCTCTTATTTCCGCTCGGCTCTTAAATATTTGTGTAAAATTTTATTTTGAGTCAGACAAGACGTGATAGGGGAGACAGGTGATCAGGATCACCCATTATTTTTTTTTTAAAAAAAAACCAACTTAATGGGACAACTAATTTGACTGAAGAAGCAGTGCTGGGGGTAAAGGAGGGGGAAGCTTAGCCCTTTCCTTTCATAGGGTAAAGGTTTCCCTTGCTTGAAAGCCAGTCGAATCCAACTCTAGGGTTGCAGTGCTCATCTCCGTTTCCAAGCCGAAGAGCCAGCACTGTCCGAAGACGTTTCCGTGGTCATGTGGCTGGCATGACTAGACGCCGAGGCACACAGGATGCAGTTACCTTCCCACCAAAGCAGTCCCTATTTATCTACATGCAATTTCTTGCTTTTGAACTGCTAGGTTGGCAGGAGCTGGAACCAGAGACGGGATCTCACTCCGTCATGCGGCACTCGGGTCTCGAACTGCCGAACTACCGACCTTCCAGCTATTTCCCTAATCTAAATCACCCTCTCTGTTGGCTCCAGGAGGGGGAAAGGGACCCGGTCCATCATGTGTAGCTGTCTTTTCCTCCAAACAAAACTAAAAAGCTAGGGAGGGAGGTTGGAGATCAGAGAAATGGCATGGGAGGAAAGAGGCAGCATCACACTTGACCCCTTAACACTACTACGTGGATCAGAAATATGCCAAGCGATCCCTTAACATACAGAATGCAAGTGAAGGGCTCTTTTTGTAGCAGGAACTCCTTTGCATATTAAGCGACACACCCCTAATGTAGCCAATCCTCCAAGAGCTTACAGAGCTCTCCTTACAGGGGCTACTGTAAGCTCTTGGAGGATTGGCTATATTAGGGGTGTGTCACCTAATATGCAAAGGAGTTCCTGCTACATGGTCAAGCTTAAGAGACAACTGACTGAATTGGTTTTTAGACTTTCCCCGTTTTACTCACTAAGAAGACAACAGGACCAACTGATGACTGAACCCATCTTGAACACACCAGCACACAGGCCAGTTTGCACATAAGCCACTTCGGAGCACTTGGATTTAAATCTGTCTTCCCCCAGCCCTGCCATAATAGGGCTAAATCAATGCTCTGCCTTGAAATGATTTTTGAATGGTTAGCTAGTGAGTACAGCTACATCCCTATAAACATACGCCTTTCAGATGCTAGATAATGTACCTTAGAAGACAAAAGCAATAAGAAACCCATGTGACAGTTTTACAGTAACATAATGATACGGTAGATGCAGGCAGAAAAGAATGACAGTCATATAAGAGAATTGGAGAACTTACGTTAGTGGGGATGGCAAAGATGTAGCAAGTTGGGCCCTCATCAGGATGGACCAGGTTAGCTTAACCTTGTCAGGTCTCAGAAACTAAACAGGTTTAGTACTTGGGTGGGAGACCACCAAGGCAGCCCCGTGTTGCTATGCAAAGGCAGGCAAAGGCAAACCACCTGTTTGTTGCCTGCCTTGAAAACCCTACGGGGTTGCCATGAATTGGCTGTGACTTCGTGGCACCACCAGGAAATGGTACGGATGAGATGCAAAAACCTGCCCGAACTGTGCTAAACAATACGATCTTAGAAAGTTGCATTTTAGCAAAATCTATTTTGTAAGAATACAGGTTTTTGTTTTTCAGCTGCCAATATATAAAATTATTCGTTTTTGTTCTTCTTCTTAGAGCCATACCAAAGACTGTGTATAATATGGTGCAAGAAGCATTAGTATTTAAAGAAAAGAAAGCCAACACAGGCATTCTACTTGTTTGATTAGCGAGTCTTTCAAAATGTGCAGATGTATTGAAGTCTAGTACATGCTTATTTTACACGCACTGGGGTTTTATCTTTGGAATTACAATTTACACTCATATATTGATTTCGTTGATAAAGTTGCATCCCATGTACTTCTCGACTAAGAAGTACCTGAGCCACAGCTGTATAGCCAATATGATACAAAGGATTAAATTTGTTCAGAATGTTCAGACCGAATGTTGTGACTTGGGGGCTGTCGAGCCCCTATTCCAACACAGATCGAACACTGCGGTTTCAAGGAGATTTCTCTATTAGTATCAGCCCCTGAATTGCCCACTGAATTGTACCATCAATCCATACCTGACAAAAGGCTCTCTGCTTCTCACAGTTTTCAATGTACTACTAAAGTAAAGACATTTACTGGAAGTTAACAGACAGTATCACATGGGTGCAGAGTTTATCATAGCTAGGCAAACTGTCCTCAACACATTTTTCGGTCCTGCTGTTGCTACCGACTTGCAACTATTGTTTGAGGCTAAAAGCAACAGCAAGTATAAATGTATTGGGCACAGCATAATTAATTTATTTTAATTTTAACATCCCAGAATTTTAAAAGAAAAATTTCTACTGTTTTCAGATGAAATTCTGCTCCCCCCCCACTTTTAGGAATTGGAAAGATCAAATATTGAAAGGTTGTTGGCCTATTCGTCCCTTAGTAGCTATTAAGAAAGATAATCTAATCTTGCATTTTAAGTATTCTAAGCAGTGCAAAATTAGCATTTTCACCAGCTCTGATGCAGGCACTATTACAAATGTTTCTTATGATTACCTAATAATTTTGGAACATCTTTTCTTACTTGCTATAGCAAGCATAAATTGGGGACAGAAATGAATTGAGCTTAATTACAACACAATTTATGGATGCAATAAAACTACAAAGCTCATACAAGTTACAAAAGGTCCCATTCAAATTATTTATGGATTAAATTAATATGAATATTTATTTCTTCAATCCATAAAATATTTTATCTTTAACCTTCAGAACTGCCGTCTTGTCTTTTATCATAAATAGTAACAGTCAATGTTCTTGTTATAAATTTCAGGGAACCAATCTCCCTTGCTTTACTGGGACAGAGGTATGTTTTTATATAAGTTATAAACATTAAATCAAGTTTCTGCAGTGCAAAAAGCATCAATAATATAGTTCAATACACAGGAAAAAGATCACATGAAAAGGCATCATTTCCTTCAGTTTTGTTTATCCAACCCAAATGATTGTGCAAATAAATAAGGTCAGAATGCTTACATATGGCCACTTTTCATTAGATGTCTTGCACCGAACAATACATACCTTGTGAACCAAGTAACCTGAACAACAGAAATAGAGGCCATAGCAAGTGTAAATTTATTGCATCAGTCAGACTCAAGAGCTGGGTCTACACGGTGTCAGGAAGGCTCATCGGCTATAGTAAATTTGGGCTTTAACCTAACAGACCTTTTCCTCGTGGTGCTTCTAGGTGACAAGGAAATGGTGTCCATAATACTCCTGTCTTCCTCCAGTTGCTTGGCAGTGCAGTTAGGCGTGGGAACCTTCACAGTCTTGCCAAATTTAGAGTAATCTACCGAGTACTGCCCATCTTCTTCCGTCACAATAGGCACAAACCTTTGGCCCCAGAGGATCTCATCCGCCAGGTAGGATGTCCTGGCTTGGGTGGTGATGCCAGTGGTTTCCACCACCCCTTCAAGGATGACAATCACTTCCAAATCTTCGTGATGATGAAGGTTGGCTTGAGAGACTTCATACAGAGGACTGTTCTTGTCTATCACGTGGTAGATGATGAGTGGGGAGACCAGGAAGATGCTGTTGCCCCCGACTGGGTTTTCCATCTGGATATCGATCTGGTTGAGGGGCACCACCTCACCTTCCAGGCTGCTGGTCTTCTTCACCACCTGCATGTGTATGGTGGCGCTGATGATCATGCTCTTGCGCAGGTCCCCCACGCGCAACATGAAGCAGAGCTTGCCCTCCCGGAGGGCGATCACCGCGTGCTTGCTGAAGATGAGCGTCTCGGCCCGCCGGTGAGCTTGGGCGGTCTTCATGAAGATGCAACCCAGCATGATGGAGTTGAGCACCAGCCCCACGATGTTCTGCAGGATGAGCATGAAGATGGCAGCCGGGCACTCCTCCGTCATCATGCGGCCCCCAAAGCCAATGGTCACCTGCACCTCTATGGAGAAGAGGAAGGCGGAGGTGAAGGAGTGCATCTCGGTGACGCAGGGCACAAACCCACCTGCCCCCAACCGGCCACTGTCCCCCCGCGTTGCCCGGGTGCTCTGGTCGAGGTCCCCGTGGGCGAAGGCGATGAGCCACCAGACCATGGCGAAGAGCAGCCAGCTGCAGAGGAAGGACATGGTGAAGATGATGAGCGTGTGGGGCCACTTGAGGTCCACCAGGGTGGTGAAGACGTCCTGCAGGAAGCGGCCCTGCTCGCGGATGTTCTTGTGGGCCACGTTGCAGGCGCCGTTCTTGCCCACGAAGCGGGCCCGCCGCTCCCGGGCGCGGTAGCGGGCGGGCTCGGGGACATCCTCGGCCAGGCGGGTCAGCACGTACTCCTCCGGGATGATCCCCTTCCTGGAGAGCATGGCTGGCCTGGCCGCCCCCTGCCCCCGCCGCCGCGCCTACCAGTGCCTCATGCCCGCACAGAGCCGGCCCGGTCCCCTTCCGCCGTCCCGGCCCTCCGACTGCCCCGGCCGATCGTCCCCCCCTGGCCCCACCGCTTCGCCGCCTCCGCCGGCCCAGCTGCACATGCCAATCACAGCCCCCCCCCCCCCCCGGCAAGGGAGAGGGGGCGCGGGGGGGGGTTTCCCGCGCCCGCCGCTTGCAAGGCTGCCGCGGGGAGGCCGAAGCGGCGCACAGTTCTGGGCGGCAGGGGGCGCCGTTGCGCCAGGGAATCCCGGCGCAGGTGACGTCGGTCCACGACTGGGAAGGCGAGCCCGAGGAGAGCGGCGGGGGGCGCGCCGGCCCCCTCTAGCCCTCCCAGGCCTGGCGCCAGAAGGGAGGCAGGGAGGAAGAGAGGGGCTTTCAGAGGGCTTCAAGCGCTGCGCCTGCTCCGGCTCTCTGACGAATCGTCCGTTCCCAAGCCAAGACCAGTGTTCCCTCTAAGCTGTGGAGCCTTGTGAGCAAAAATTCTACTTTGTGAGCTCCTGGCGTTAAAGTTGTGAGCGAGCCGTTTGGCTGCTGCATGAATTAGTTTGCTCCGGAGCCCTCCCTTCCTGAGCTGAGACAGAAATCTGTGAGATGGAGGCTTAAAAAAAAACCCTGTGAGTTAGCTCACACTAACTCAGCTTAGAGGGACACACTGGCAAGACCAAGGTGCGGAGTGGCAACCAGCGTTAGGCGTAATCTTCGTGGGGGCGGCGGGGCTTCAGCCCCCGCCGAAATTTTCAGGAAGGCGCTCAGCCTTCCCCGGGAGCCACCCTTGCTCCTAGCAAAGCAATGCCTCTGGCCCAGCCCCAGCCCCCCCCCCCCCAAATTGGAAATTCTACCCCCTTGCCCGCCCCTTGGTGTGAGCTGGCTCACCGTTTTTCAGCCTCCAGCACACACATTTTTGTCTCCGCTCAGGAAGGATGGCTCCGGGGCAAAACTAATTTATGCAGCAGCCAAAACGCTCGCTCACAACTTTAATGCCCAGTAGTTCACAAAGCAGATTTTTTTTTTTTTTTGCTCTCAAGACTCCACAGCTTGGAGGGAACACAACTCATGGCGACCCCATCCAGGGGCGAGTTACAGCCAAGTGGCAGCAGCTAAAACTGCCTCATGCCAGAGGCTGGAATGTCACCCAGGGCAACCCCCACTTCGCTGTCTGGATGGCATCAAATGCAAGGAAGGGAAAGAACACCTATTTAAAAAACTGGGTGCCTATTAAATAATATTTATTTATTTGTATTTATTATTTGTATTCATACCCTGCCTTGCCTGACAAGCAGGCTCAAGGCGGCTAACAAGATTAAATAACACAACAAAGAATTAAAACAATTAATAAATACAATATCAGTTAAAACCAGTGAACAATAACAGTTACAAAAGCAGGTTGTTGCAATAAATCTATCAGATGAGATCAAAGACATGAAGGATGTTGGCAAGCGATGGGTAGAAGAGAAAATGTAAACAGTAGGGTCAAAAGGCTAAGGAATGCAGGTGGCGCAGCCTGTGATATTTGTATGCAAAGCTCAAGTGTATACAAGTTGAGTACAGTGATAATTCAGAGCAGGAACAGGTAATAACAGAACCTTTCTAGATTGTGTTAATTTAACACCTGTAATATGAGAACAAGACCCCCAAAGAGTGACGATGTGTGGTGGGTGGGTGCATGCTAACACATTTAGATGCAATTTTCTGAGGTTAACAAATGTTACAGTTACACTAAACCCTGATTTTTGGTTTGCCTATATAGATATATCATTGTTGTGGGACTTTCTGCAAACAAGGCCGGCATCAGGACACGTTTCTCTGGCCCGACTGATTATCCGGATTAATTTTTGCGGTGTCCTGTGAGCACTGCAGAATCTTGATGCATTCTGACTTTTCTGTCCAGCAAAATAACTCTTTGAAGATTATATAAGGCACAGCGTGTGCTCCAAGTGCTGCCTCTTCTGCTGCGTTCTGACCTGACAGCCTCACTCATCTGAGCAAAGCCTTCTGCAGGTGTCCCCCTGCAGGGCGGTAAAGTCAGCAACTGCCTCCTCACACACATTGTTGCTGCCACATAACGGAATGGCCGCTTGAGGAAGTCAGTAATTTCACAGAGTGTGCAAAGCAGAAATGTTCAGGAGGGCTTTTTAAAAACAGGATGAGAACTGTAATCTAATGGAACGCCTCAGAAAATCACTGCTATAAAGGAATCGGATTGTAGTCTATTGCAGTGCTTTTCCTGTGTATCGCTTGGCTTCTGCTGCATTGTCTTCTGGCAGACCGCTACATTTGTAACTCACTTTCTGAATCATGCCGTGTCATTCCTTACCCACGTTTTTTGTTTATTCTCATTGCTTTCCTGTTATATATATATATATATATCTTTTTTGAAACATACTTTCTTCTGCTAATATCATATTTACTTTATCCATTTCTTTTATTTCCATGATTTTCATAGTTAATTCTTCTCTATTTGGAATTTTATCTGATTTCCAAGATTTTGCTATAAGTATTCTGGATATTGTGAGGATATATAATATCTGACATAAGTCGTTGTGTTTAGTCCCATCAGGTAACATATTAAGTAAATATACTTCTGGTTCTAACTTCAGTTATCTCTAATATTAATTGTTTTACAGTTTTCCAAAACTTGCAGATCTTCTCGCATCTCCACCATATAGGATACTATGACCCGATGTTTTTGTTACATCTCCAGCAATTCCCTGAGACATTTTTATAGCATTTATTGTTTTCCTGTTCTGTAATCCTAGTCCCACTGCATTGTTTGCTGAATGTTTTATGCTGCTTGATGGAATTGGGGTTTTTTTTTTTTGTATTTTGTAATCCACCTTAAATTTGAGTGAGAAAGCTGGGCTGTAAATGAAGTAAATAAATAATCTTCGACACGCTCATGAGGGAACTGCCAAGTACAGGTAACTAAATCATGGTAAGAAGGTTGAAGCCAGTTACAGTTTAACAGGGCTGTTTTTGACACACACACCCGTATGCCTCGGAGTCGCCGAGTGTGTGTGTGTTGCCCTCCAGGCCTTCCCTCTGTAGCCAGGCACGCAGAGGTTTTGGCTGTAGTGGGCGTGGCCAACTCTGAAGCCAGCCGGAACTTCGTTCCTGTGCGTTCCTGCCCAAAAATAGCCCTGCAGTTTAAATACAGGTATGATCCTATGCTATGCACATATATTCTTTCACAAGCATAGTTCCCTGAGATCTTATATTTTTATTATTAAATATTTTCTATGTAGCCCTGACCTGGCTAGCCCAGGCAAGCTTGATCTCATCAGATCTTGGAAGCTAAGCAGGGCCAACCTTTGCAAATAATTGGGAGACCTCCAAGGAATACCAGGGCTCGGGACACAGAGACAGGCAATAGTAAGCCACCTCTCTGAAATGTCCAGACCCCACTAGGAAGTCACCATGACTTCCAGGCATGCAAGCGCGCGCACACATACACACACACGCAGGGGCAGATTAAGGCTCACGGGTGCCTTCAGCACTGACCAATCTTGGTGCCCCCCTCCTCCTTTCCACACTGACCCAGTCCATTTTAGTTGTTGACCTGTCTGACCAGATATACAATGCAGGTTGCAGCAGCACAAAAATTTATTCATATGATAACACAATATACTGTACAAAACAAAGCTTTTCGCCCTTTCCCCAACTTTGTGGTGCCCCCTTTGGCCCTGGTGCCCTAAGCACGTGCCTCATCTGCTTCATGGTGAATCCGCCCCTGCACACACGCACACGCAAGCCACACACAAAAAAGAGAAAATATATATTTTCTATGTAATTAGGTTTGGCTGCTTATCTGGGGGAGAACCTTAGTCCACAATGGACAAACATATTTATTTCTAGGTGCCACTGCCAACAGACTCCTGTTCGCTTTTGCCGCATCAGACTAGCGTGGATACTCCTCTGGAATTTATCTTCTTTCTCTACATAATATACAGTAATATTTTTGAGAGCATTTTGAATTTACATCCAATAAACATATAAGTAGATACCAGACCATTTATTATTCAATTCTGGAATAAGAACATCTTGAATTGCTATCATCTGGAAGAATGTATAGAACTGCAGTTACTTAATATTCAATTCAATTCAAATACCTTTTATTGGCATACAATATTAGAAGCGTTTACCAATAATGCAATCCAAAAGAAATTATAAAATAGACAGTCGTGGCTATGTCAGGCCTAACTCAAGTTGTCACAAGCTAGATTTGACCATACAAAAGATGCCTGAATCATAAAATAAATTGGCCTTCTAAACTTTTAAACTTAAGTTTTTAGAGTTATAAATTAAGAATCATTAATATGATCAGGGTCACTCTTCCGTTTTATAAAACCATGGAGAAACTTAGCGGTCAGTTCAATGATCTCCGGATCTCGTGAAGCAAGGAGAAACTGTACCTTGATTCTATCCGATTGGCCTGCTACCAACCTAAGGGGGGCTTTAGTTACTTAATAGCCAAATCAATATAGTGTCGCAGAATCTAGCACGGCCAGGTGAATCTCTAACTCTTAATAGGCATTTATGCACCATCAATATACACAGAGTTACTCATTACAACATTTTAGATTGTTACACTGTTACTAGCACAGGTTTTCTGAATAGTATATTAACAGTGATGCAAATAGTTTCATATGAGCTTATCCAATGAACAGTAAAAGCTGAAAGTCAATTTGTGTATCTTTGTCCGAAGAGCCTCTGACAGAAATATTTACTTTAAAAACATCTTTTTTGAGTTAGATGAGAAACGCCCCCCCCCCCCATAATCCTTAGCTCTACTGGGAATTGGCATGACTACATTATCTCTCCTTATATATAATTGAGTAAGAACATTCTATATGAACATTCTAAATTTGGCCCCTTTAGTGTATGGACGCTTGAACTATCAGTCAGAAGACGCTGGCTGGGTTGACTGGCTGCTTTGTGCAGTCCCGCCCAGCGTTTCAAGGTCTTTTGCATATGGAAGCTGATTGGACTTCACTGCATTCCACACCTCAAACTCACCCCCCTCCCCGCAAGGCAGTTGGAATGTCAGT